TGCGGTCAAGCCTTACGAGCCGAAAGTCGGAGAGGAAGACGTTCAGCTCGGACTTCAAGTGAGTCTCGGTGATGACGGCTATGTCGATGTGCCGTTCGTTGAGAAAGTCAACAAACTCGATGTTATTGCTCTTAAAGGAGCAAGCATTCCAATTAACGATCTTGATGGCTTCACGGTCCATACTTAGTGACAAGGGACAGGGCAGCATGTAACTATTCAGATCGAGTCTAGCAGGTGCGCATGATAATGATTACCTCGGCCACGAGCGTCACAAGTTCCTCCGACGTGAGGAGAATCGTCGACAGGTTCATCTGATACAGCACCAGCGTATGATAAACCAGGGCGGTGGATGAACCTGGAATTGGCTGGAGCGCAGCAGTAGCAAGACGATGCTGAACTGTCCGACTGTTGGAAACCATTTGTATATTCGTAGGATTAGCTTGTTGGTTGTTGAGCGGAAGCGTGTCTAGGTTCGGTACATGTCAACGGGGCTGGAGAGCTGGGTACTGGACTTCCGTGAGTACAGAAGGCGAACGATGCTTACGGAGGCGACCGTAGCCTTGATTGTAGCCTTCCGACGCATATTAATGAGGTCCACTCGCTTGGGACATCCACGATTGGATGCTTGTTTCCACCGCAGTTGACACACGTTGGCTTAATGTCATCAACTTGCTCACAGGACGCAGTTGAGTAAGTTCCAGCATACTTGCCGCAGTTTGTCTTCATATGGCAGTTTTTGGTGCCATGGCCATCGGAGAGGCAGTTCATACACTGCGTAACATCACGATGTTGGGATTTGTAATGCTCCCAACTGATGATGACCTGAAACAGGTCCCGGATTTCGAATCTCAGAGCCGCAAGACTGTTGGATATCTTCGTGAAGTGCGCCAGGAACAACTGGTCACGGAAGCTGGTATTGTTGTTGGAACGCCGGTTCATCTGGTACACGGCCTCAGGTTTGAGCCTAAGCCGCTCCAGCTCGGATTTCACCGCAGCCGCCTCGAACGACGGTAATCCACTCAAAACCGCCTTCAGTGGCTTGCTCGATGCCAGATCATACGTGAAGTAGTTCACGTTGTTGACCTTTAGGAAACATCCTGCAGGCTGGAGCACATGATTTTGGTACCGATGCTGCAAATCTTGAAGCGAGGCAGCAGCTTGTGTTTTGCCAGTTCGGCACCCAGTTTGGCAACATCCTTCACCGGCGTGAAAAGCGGGGGAATCCTCTCTCTTTTAGCAATGGGAACGGCGTCACCATCGCCATTTTCTTCCGGGAGTACTGCATACTTGTTGGCTTGCAGTACCTGTTTTCCGGCGTCATCCTGCGACGCGCTGGGCTTGATTAGCATCTTCTTTGAAGGGTCCACTGTTGTCTCATTGGCACGTTTACGCACCATTTGTTTCGTGTTTGCAAGTTCAAGTAAACTTGCCAGCACGCGAGAAGGTGGCGAAACTTCCACGGCGCAACGCGACAGCACAAAAAGAAACAAAATCGAAACGAGAACTCGAGCGAAAATACGGACTGAACAGCTCAACAGTCGAGAAAAGAATGAGCAGAAACACGTCAGCTGCTGACAGCGCTGCGCTTTTTTATACCTTTTCAGGTTAAAGCAGAAAAATATATATTTTAGTAGATTAGCGTATTTGGATTTTAATTTCATTTATAAATGACAAAGTTACAAGCGTTCAAAACCTAACACTATTTCAACCGTGATTTCAACAAACAAATTGTTTGATTTACAGCCCAGTATAGCCGACAAAGACGTAGTTCTACGTCAACAAAAAAAAAACCCTTCTGGGAAAGAAAGGGTCAAAATATTCATAGAATTGTGTCATGCGCATCAGTTGGATGTGCTCTGATTTGTAACATTATCATTTGTATGAGGTAGTAGATTGAAGCCTCAGAAATCGGTATCTGGAACATCAAAGGGGGACTGGCTTCGAGTAACCAGAATATCGATAAAATATCAGTAACTATAAAATAAAATAGATCCGCGTCAATTTTGATGTGTTTTGATTTGTCGCATGACCAGTTTTATGAGAAAAAAAGATTTTGGCCAGTGGTGCCAATATCTGACACATCAGGATTAGTATTAACAAGTATTAAAAAAAAAGTATTCCAATAATCTCTTTATAGGCATCAACTTGATCTGTTTTGATGTGTCGCAAGACCATTTTCAATAGAAAGTTGATTATGGAACCGGTATCCGGAACATCCGGGTAAGGTCACTGGCCACTAGCATCCAGAATTTTGGCAACATGTTCGAAAATTAGTTTTATGCGTTGATGCATGACCATTTTTTATCAGAAATTTGATTGATTTGAAACATGATCAAGTAAACATAAATTGTATTCAGTAAGGTATCGATTCCCCTTTTTCATGGAATCTTGCTACCATTTCCTATAAAAACTTATTATTTTCTATGAGTGACCAATTTCATTCGGCATCGATTTCTTGTGGCCAATCGTGTAAAAATCGGTTGTATCGGGTACTTTGATTATAAATACATATTCCGTATGCGTGATAATGTTTGCACCATCGTAAAATTAAGGTTCCCGTTTCACCTGTGCATACAATGCCTTGGTTTTCTTTGTATGCACGTAACCTGGGTACTGCGGAGTCGACCAATTTTATTTTGCAAGCCAATGGAAAACTGCTTGAAAATTTTCTCAAGTTTAAAATTGATTTGCTCTTTCCCAGTTGATTCCCGCCAAAAGCTCTGAGCCCCCATGACTCTATAAAAGTTTGTTTATATACATGTTTCGCCAAAGTATGTTTTACTGCAATTGAAAACTCAACTGCCTCATAAAAACTATGCTGGTTTTTATACTTTCATCACTAAGCCTGTTGGTTTTTATCTTTCAGCTTGAAATTAAGAATGTGTTATGAAAAAGTATAGAACATTTTTATGAGATTACAATGCTTGACGGTAGGTAAGAACAGTAACTGCATTTGCTGCTTCTGAATGTTTGGCTCCCGCTTGACAGTTCACACTGGCTCCCAAGTGACAAGCACCTTGAGTGAGTCCGCAGTACTCAGCACGTAACCTATAGCTCATACCGTAGTAGGCTGTGTATAAAAGAAAATGATTCACTTAGTTTGGCAGTTGCACCAAGACGAAGTGGCAGCGTATTCGTGATTTTTCCCACGCGCAAGTGTCGCAAAAAGACATTTCAATCGCCGTGGGAGTGTCCCGGTGGACCGTCAAAAGGGTTTTAGACCGAAAAAAGAAAGGACAACTATCCGACAACTAAGGTGGCCACAGATCTTCCGAGGTCAGCTCGGGTTCCGAGGGTTATCGCTGCTATCAAAAGGAAGATTCGGGTGAATCCAGTGCGTTCAATAAGGAAAATGGCAAAGGAACACGGGATCAGTGACTTTACGGCACGGAAGATCGTAAAGGAAGATTGCGGGGCGAAGTCGAAGGCACGTAAAAAAAACTCATATGATTAAAAAACCGCTTCCCGGAGCTAGGAGTCGAACGATGCAAGTAAATTTTTAACTTCCTTAAGCGAAAAAAATCCGGTACTCCTGTTCACCGACGAGAGCATGTTTACCGTCGATTCCGTATCAAATTCCAGTACAAGAACGTGTACAAGAACGTGTATCTGACCAAGCATCCTGCTAGCGTTATGGTGTTTGGATTGGTGGCTTCCGGTGGCAAAAAAAATGGACCCACTGTTCATTCCAGAAGGCGACAAAGTCAACACGGAGGTCTACATCGGGATTTTAAGTAAGTATGCTCTTCCGTGGATCAAAGAACAGTACGGTCCGAAGCCAAATGTTGTATTTCAACAAGATGGGGCTCCGTGCCACACCTCGAACCGCTCTCAGAAGTGGTTGCAGGAACATCTTGCGTTCTGCGCGAAGGATATGTGGCAGCCATCCAGCCCCGATCTTAATCCACTGGATTACTCAATATCGCGCGTCATAGAGGCCAATGCCTGTTCCAAACGCCACCCGAGTACAGCAAGCCTCAGACAAACATTGACCCGTACCTGGAGAGAAATGGATCCAGCAGGATCCGTAATTGCAGCAAGTCGAAACTCGATAGATGATTTAAGACTCTGAGAAACATCCCCCCTTTGAATAAATAAAAAAAAAAACTCAAAAACGAAATTTTTGAGATTTTTTTAAATTTTGACATTGCTCAATGGTGCAAACATTATCACGCATACCGTAGATTTAATTACGAAACTTTTTCAAATATAGGTTGTAAGCCGGGTCAAGTTGACCCGTTAACACCTTATTCGTCACAAAAAAGTAACACCCAAAGAAGTTTAAAATTCCAAGTTTTCATAAAACAAAAACCCTAGTTCCACATTCTTGGCAGGTAAAGTTTTTCTTTTCTCCTTTGACTGTTTTAATAACTTCCTCCCTGCTCCCATTGTTGGCCACCGAATTTTTCTCATTTTCGTCTGGATCCTTTGCCTTGTCCCTGTACCGCCGTTTTCATCTTTTCCTCCGAACATACTGTGTCACGTTCCGCTGCCGCCCGAGTGAATGACTCATGACTTGACTTCTTCACTTTTTCCGGAACCAGGTTTCTCTCCCCTGAAATAGGGGTCACATGGCCACTTGGGTGCATGAAAATGTGTTGGAAATCGAATTTCTTCCGGTTTTTTTTTCTCACTCCTCTTTTGTCGGGCAAACAAGCCGGAGTGAAAGCTTAGAGCATAAGTTTCATTTCTCCGACATCCAAAAGTTTTCTTTTTTTCCCTTTGAAAAGAGAGAAAGAAAGTCGCTGTAAAATGGATTTCAAGTAGGAATTGCTACTTGGAGACTTCATTGAAAAGGCAAACTGGAAAGTGAAAAACTTTGGACGTAATTGGCATATTTTTGAATGTTTGTTCAGTTTGCCATGAGGTCACCGTTTGTTACGTATGGAAACAAAAAAGATGCATGTAGATTATAATTTTAAACAGTAAAAAAATCGTTTGATCCAGTAGAATAGACGTAGAACGACAGATTGAAATGAATAAAAGGTACATCAACTTACCACAATGGCCACGATGAGAATGGCTGCCGCTAACGTTCCCGCAGCGATGTACGCGTTGTGCAATTCTATGGCACTGCCACGCTTTCCAATGTGAGATTCCGATTCTCCGTACAGGGTGCTACTGCTGCCTCCATGCAGACCATTTTGGCCTCCATTCTGGCCAAGACTGTCCGACAGCATTTCACTAGAGCTGACAACCGTATCGATTACAAAGTTCTCTGCAATGGGACGGTAACGTGAGAAGATTAATATACAATTGAAGGTTGTCCATTTGACAACGTACTGTATCTGAATTTTCCCATTAATAACGGTAGTATTCTCTTGTCGCTTAAAATATACAACAATGAAATCGATGAATCTTAACATTTTTCACCACCACTTGTAATTTTATCGGCAGAAGTTTAAGTTAAAATTGAACTTTATACAACTAAGCTATCATCTACAATTCAATTATAATTCTCAGAAAAGTCCAAATACAAACACCAAGATGGATCACAATTCTGTCCGTTTATCATTTCTTATTCCTGAAATTAATAGACTTCTTCAGACGGTATAATCCGCCCGATTAAATGTCCAATTAGTACCGCTTGGCCATCGTCAGGGTAACACAAATTTCCCAGCCGAAAAGCACTGTTTCATTTACCAATCTAGGTACCGAGAATGAAGGCAAATAGAACGAAATCCTCGGTGATATATATCCCGTAAATTCGTAGCAAAAATTGAAACATAAATCAGAGAAAAGCCAATTTTTATTGCCCCGAAAGTGGAGCCCGGCCGACAAAGATAGGTGTGTGAGTGTTTAGTAGCGACCAGTTTGGAAGGAAAAAAAGGAGGTGGAAAATAATTTTCCCATTCATAACGGGGCTGCTGCAGAGGAAAAGAACTTGAATTATGGGAAAATAATACTCAATTATTTATCGAGCACCTGAACAAATGCTCCGAAGTTTCTAATTACTATTCAGCAGTTACGTGAATCCGTCGAATATGGTAACCCTGCACCGAGGAAAACGCAAAAAAAAAACCAACTCACCTTCGCACATTTTTCCCGTGAAACCTGGTCGGCATGCACAATAGAACGATTCCTCGGTAGTCCAGCAGGTTCCTCCGTTGGCACATGGATTCACGTTGCACAGCTGCGGAAGACAGAGGAAATAAATGGTTGGATGTAAAAAAATATCATTAAGAAGGGAAATCTGTTTTGCATTCCGCCTAGATACGAACAGAGCCAGACAAAAGACGATATGTCATTGTTATTTTGCAATATAAATTTACTTCACGATATGCACAGAAGTCACTCCTGATGGAGATGAAATGTGAGACTCAAATCCCTCCGCCCTCCGACTTACGTCGACGATGGGGAATAAAAAATCTCTTTAAAATGCTACTTTTTATATCCCTCGTCAGCTTTGGTCCATATGATACAGTATAAAGTTATGAACGTATGATCCTCCGTGATTTGAGATGACAATCTGCTCCGAACGACCCCGAAGATTTCGACCCAAAGCGAAGAATGGCTATGCTGGATGCTGCAGTTGGAAACGATTGTGATGCACATATTGTGCTCTTTGGTAGATCAGCTCTCGGGTTTCTCTAAACTGTGCAATTCCCCAACGTGCAGGCAATATGATAGTTCAATATAACAATGTGTGTTTTATGGGACGGTGTTGTTACTGGACAATTTTTCGAGGAAATTTTTGTTTGCTGTTAGTAAGTGGTTTGTTTCCACCGGTTATTCAAATCAAACACTGCAAGAGACTCAATTATTTTAGACAAGCGACCATGCACTTATTACGAGTGATTTTTCTATGGATTTTACAATCCCAGCTCTCCTTTAGTAAGATTTAACATCGAAAATTTACATGTTCTGAATTCTTAATGATTTCGGAAGGTATTTCTGAGATTCAATCCCCATGTATACAAAATAGAGTTTTGTTATAGTTATTCATTGGCGTTGCTAATGGGGGTGCCAAGGGGACCACCCTCCCTCCAGAATGATCTAGGCCCCCACCAAAATTTATGGTGTTTTTTTTGGACTCACCGGTATTTTGTCATGCTTCTCTTTCCTTTATGTTGATTATTTTGACGTAGGACTACGTCTTTATTTATATACTGGGGGTCACATTAAAAAAAAAACCAAAATTCAAACATGTAACGAAAAATCCCAAACACAGACGTAACGATAGAGCACAAATCGAACACACCGTTGACCGCTTACCATTTCACCAATGAATGGAAGGGAGGAGAATAGCAGCGGTAATTATAACGCTTGCCAAATCGTTTTCTTCGTAATTCAAGGGCCACCCACATTAGATCAGTTTGCGTTGCGTAAAATTGACAGTTAGACAATAGATTTAGCTGTCACTTTGCCGCAACGCGTCCGATCCGGATCTAATGTGCGTGGGCTTTTACTTTCGAGCAACGGTCGGATAAGCGTCGGACACGACGTATGAGTAGAACAGCACGCATCGCACAAATACGAAAACGACGACGAATGCACCCACATTGACTGGAGGAAAGGCTTCCCGCAATATGTAGCATGACTGGGCCGCCATCATCCGGTTAGCATCGACTTGCACTGGTGTAAAAGAGTCAAGTAGCACGTCTGGTGTGAATGCTTCCAATGGCAATGACATCCTTCGAACGTTACACAGCTGAGTTTGACTACAATGATCACCTGCGTAATGCTGCTACCAGGAAAGCCAACTGAACACGCTGTCTCTGAAGATACCCAAGTACACCAGTTTGTTCGCTCCGATCCAAAATGGCAGTTTCATTTACCTCGGAGATGGTCACCACAAATTTGATAGGACCCTGAAGGACGCAGACATCGGAGGCTCTCTGAGTGGCTTCAACATCTTTCGGACGTTCCACTGCAGTCGTTCAACCGTTGTGCAATGGTGTAAGCACGCCATCCCAAAAGTATCAGCATGTAAATCTCTTGGATCCCAATTGGCCTGTTTAGGGCCACTATATTTATACGCTATAGAATTTCTTTTAGGATGTCTAGATGGTGGGTAAAACAGGTTCACAAAATTGAAATATTTTTGAACCATGGAGAGAAATAATAGCAAAAAATCATCAATCAGTGCCAATAGCAGTGTTCGGAAAATCACTATCAGCTTTGGGTCATTGAGTCTTCGTGAGAGAATAAACTTGCGTAAATCATCCAGCTCTAAACCTTCCCGCAGACGTCAATTGGTAGCACGTTTATGCATTTCTCGTTAGTTCTCCATCCACTGAAGCAAATACAACAGCAATATTAACAAAAAACAACAAACAGTCCTTTTCAGGGTCACCATTAGAAAAACAAAATCCAAGTAGTATTTCTTGTTTTATTGCACTCAATTAGTGGTTTTGAGATCAATTTTATAAAACCGTCAATACAATGAATAGCTCCAGCACAACCTTTTGATAACCGCTATAAGATCGTCATACAGCTTAGTGGACCACTCTTGATAAGGTTTATAAAGCATGTTTGAGAATCCCAATAAAGCTGTCTTAAAACCTTTTGTCAGAAAGCCTCATACTCTACAAAAGGTCCTCTTTAAGAGTAATTTTGTATCCAAGCAGATTTATTACGCTTTGGTGAAAATCAGTTATAAATCCAATTTAATTTTTATTGGCTTCAAAGCAACCGCCATAAATAAGCTTTTTGTTGTTCTGTTCTGCTGAAACTTTGTTTTTTTTTTCCATATGGAAATCTTTAGCGGTAAAAATAGGTTTGAGTGTTGGTGTCAAGATCACCATGTAATCAATTTTGTTTTATGGCGACATTAGTGAAAATCTCAAAGGAAATATATGACTTTTTAGAAGTTCCAAAACATATGCGTTTGAAATTTTATCGTGTATATAGAGATAATACGAGCGTTAAATAAATGCGCCTCCAAAATAATTCAAGTTAACAAAAAAAAAATTGGTTTCAGAAATCAAATTAATTTGATGGAATCATCTTAATTTTACAGAAAATAGATCTCAATAAATAAATTCATATCAATGAACACTGGAAATTATTTCGGATATCTAATTTAGCCATTATTTTATTGAAATTTTTTGGATTTTAGTCCAAGGCTAATGGCATTTTCATAATGACAATATGGCGATAGAGGACAGCAGGCAAGAAAAACACCAAGCGCAATTTCTTAAAATGTCTAATGCTTACATTGCACACTGGGTCAGGAATGCAACCTAGCGGAGCAGAATTATTAACTCCGAAACGAAGCATTTCCGCAACTTGGTGCCTTCGGCAAAGTTTCTCATCATAATAAGGACCATCTATGTACATAAACAAATAGTTCAAAACTTTTCCGCAAAGATGGAGCACAATCTAACTTCTTTCTCTGACGTTTTGGAGACTTGATGTCTTGGGCAAAGTTGTTTATCTTGACAAAATGAACAGCTCTTTCAGAGATGTGAAATTTCCACAGCCTACTGGTTCCAAATTATATGGAGTTAAAGAAAAAATGTCGAAAATAAGGTTTTTTCTTTCTGTTTCGGTTTTTTGCTTACAACCATATAATTTTGAATTTTTCTCTTATGCAAATGCATTAAATAAATAACTTTTGTGAAGAAACATACTGGATGTAGCTTCAAATTTTAAAAATATTGTTGAAAAAACGAAAAAAAAACACGATTTTTGAACTTTAATATCTCCTAAAGCGCAAAAAATCGCAACCTGACATTTTCAGCAAAAATTAAGCAGTGCTCGATAAACAAAATATCAAATTTTGAGAAAGGTTTATTCTGGTGTTTTTTAGATTTCTTCATTTTAGTGGAACAAGTTTTTTTTCTATAATTTTTTTTAATGCATTGAAATTGTGTTTTATTGCTCATGTCCAATCACTACTCGTTAGAATCGCATTTCTTCCGAATTGGGCTCGCATTCAGCAATTTGTGCGCTTGTGGTAGTGGCTATCACGATATCGACCACGTGCTTTTGTCATGCACCCTCTATTGTGTTGCTAGATCCGAGTTATCCGCATCCCTCAGGGCCCGAGGAAAACAACCTATGCGGCTCGTTAGAGACATCTTAGAGAGCCAAGATCTCGACTATTGCAATTTAATTTATGTGTTTTTAAAACGGATCGATCTGAGGATTTAGTAGCTAGTGTCATCTGGTGTTCCCCCAAGTTGTTAGCTGCCCATCGGTGTACCCCCATGTTTGTCTTTTTCATCAGTTGGTCGCTTAGTTCGAGATCAAGAGCACATTTCTCTCCAAACCTTGTGTTCTCAATCCCTACCCTGTCATCCATTTTTTACAATTTGTTACCCCTAACCTCGAGATAGCCACGAGTAATCAGCCCCCGCTTTACTAACGTTAGTTTTAAGAAATTTTGTAATCCAAACAATGAATATCGGCTCCGCAAAGCTACGGCAAATAAGCCTGGGAAAATAAACGCATTATAAAAAAAAAACAAAAAAAAAACTTGTGTTTTGAAGACTTTGGCAAAGTTGTTTATCTTGATAAAATAAACAACTCTTCCTAAAACGTTAAAACTTTACAGCCTACTGTTTTCAAGTCAAATGGAATTAGAGAAAAAATGTGGAAATAAGTGTTTTAATTTTATATATAATATATATATTTTATATTAAATATATTGAATATTGTTTAAATGCATATAACTCGAAAACAGTAGGCTGTGAATTAAAGTTCAAAAATTGTTGCTTTTTTCGTTTTTTCAACAATATCTTTAAAATTTGAAGCTACATCCAGTATGTTTCTTCATAAAAGTTATTTATTTAATGCATTCGCATAAGAGAAAAATACAACATTATATGGTTGTAAGCAAAAAACCGAAACATAAGAAAAAACCTTATTTTCGACATTTTTTTCTTTAACTTCATATAAATTGGAACCAGTAGGTTGTGGAAATTCACGTCTTTGAAAGAGCTGTTCTTTTTGTCAAGATAAACAACTTTGCCCAAGACATCAAGTCTTCAAAACGTCAGAGAAAGAAGTTAGATTGTGGCGCCATCTTTGCGGAAGAGTTTTGAACTATTTGTTTTATAATAGAAGAATTTCACATAATGATTGTTTTCCCATTAGTACGTCAGAGTTCTCTTTTAAATTGGCAAAACCTTTGGACAAGTAATTCTCTTGGGTGGTGGTTACATTCCATTATTTTAAATGTTTCTT